CTTCAACTAAGTACTTCAGAAATGGGGGTAGGTGAGGAAAAGGGTGTTGGCAACGGCGGTCTGATGAGAAATGAATTAATTCGATTATTTCCATGGTGTGGATCAATAATAGTCAGCCTGCGCTGAGACCCTGGCCTGCAGGCAGCTGGATAATCAATAGGCTTGCACAGAGGTGGTTCTCCTCCCCCAGAAGCCTCTCTGATCTTTTCTAGGCAGCCTCTTCACGCCTGTGTAATTCTAATTTATGTCAACTAGAAATCAAAGAAATTCCAAGAGGCTTTGGTCATAGGACATTGGGGTGGACCTTTCAAAATCTATTTATGTCTACTCCCTAAGTGATGTAGCCCCCACAGCTCTCTAGGCGCCACCGAGGCTAAGGAGAAGGCTCCCGGCAGAAGGGCAAGCTACCTGCTCCAGGCCAAGGCAGAGTAGCAGAGTCAGGTAAATGGAGGCACAATTTCCCCTTCCTGTCCCCAACTCCACAGGGGTGGACATAGGAACAACTAAGCATGTTAAGCGCAATGCTTTGCCAAGAGTGGCTCCCTCAATAACACTCTTTAATGATACCCCAGACGCTGGCATTTTCAAATCAAATGAACAGTGTATAAAATTAGTTCTGCATGAAGTTAAAAAAAAAAAAAAAAGAAAGTGAAAGAGAGCTTTTAAAAGTTCCAGTATTTCTCCATCCAACTGCTTTTCACAAGAGTTTGGTATTTGAGAATTGCTACATTTATGATGTTATTCACTGCTCATAATTCAGGCCCTCTGTCTCCAAACTTCTGTATTAACACACACTGCAGAGGTTTCCATCACATTTTATCACTGAGGTTTTCCCCAAAGTAGCCAGGTCGCCTCAGGCGAGGTCTGGTTTCTCAACCAATGCCCTGCCATTGGGGTCCTCCCCTTCCCATCAGTCTTGTTACCCTCAAATATTTGTGATTAACCTTAAACATTACATTTCCATTTGGCCTACAGCTTTCCCATGATTTTTTTTTTTTTGGGGTCCTTTTAGTTTTGTTCTTCATCCAAATTGCCTTGTAAGAAATGAGGAAAATTTCATATTATTAGGATAAACAGGTCTATATAGATTCTACAATTCACTCAAGTTGTGAAGACCAAAGCTACTGACTGCAATTGTGAAAAGCAGAGTAAACATGTTGCTCTTATTAAAGAATCCTCCTGTTGATTATACACGTCGTTTTAACTAAATCACCAAATAAATGCGTGTTAAATTGACAGGTGATTTTGGGTCAACTCTAATTCCCAAGGTCAAGTAAGCCTTTGAACAGTCTTTAAGAATATAAGTTCACCCCAATTCATCAAAGTTGTTTCACACAGAGTTTTCTTCTCTTGGTTCTTACAATGCACTAAAGTCTAGGAGATTAAGTGGCCTCAGCTTCAAAACCCAGAGCCATGCCTCTAACATGCTTATCCGTCCAGCAATCAGAAAAGCTACTTGAGCAGGGGCTTCCCAGTGCCCTTTCTAACTTTACAAGCGCATGAGGAATGCTGCACTTGTTGAATGGCTGGAAGAATCCTCCCTAAGATTCACAATGTTGTAGCCAAACAAATTTACTGCACTGTAGCCTAGACACTGTCTGATACTCTGAGTTCATGTTGTTTTCATCTGCAACCAATAGGTTTATGGTTTCTCATCTGTTCTCTGTTTACCTAATGAGAGACAGAGACACAAGCAGAGAGAGACAGAAAACACACACACACACAGAGAGAGAGAAAGGAAAAACACTTTCCTACAACAAATACAGTGCATTTGCCCTCTTGCAATTCCACAAAAGTTCTAGTGAGGAAGAAAGCAGAAGTTTGTTAAGGTAGAGCTTCAAAGTCAGCTATAAGTGGTCCCAAATGAAACTGTACAGAAAAGAAAATACCACTAGCTTACAACATTTCTCAGAACCACAGGACAGCAAGCAGATCATGGACGGAGGGAGACAGACCTATAACTGCCCCTCCTCTCTCTAAGGTAGGGGTCCCTCTGTGAACACTCCTGAGTAGGGGGTTAAATTTATAGGCCACTGAGGTCTCTTGCCCAATCCTTGGCTGGTATGCACAAAGGAGAAATATTAGTGATTAGCAAACTTAGCAATGATAGAGGGAGAAGAGTGATAGGCCAGATAAATTTTGTTCTTTAATTCTTTGTCGGTAAGATGACCACATTGTGACAGGTAGTGGAGCTGTTTCTGTACTGTCGTAATTTCCCTCTGTTACCTGTTTCTTTTTATTCTTCTTTTGCATAGAAGAACTGGGGTATAGGCCAAGGGTGTGAGGGGGTACACTAGAGACAGAGTGAGGAGCAAAAACAAGTATATTTACTGAAATACGCTGCTAAGGGGAACAGCGTATGTGGGTTAGCACTGGCTGGGGATAGAACTCTTTTAGGATGTAGGGTGAGAGTGCTCAGACTTAAAACCTGGCTACCAAGGAGGCTTGATGTTACCTGCTTCTATTGCTTTTTTCTTCTTTATTTCTTCTTTTCCTCCCCCCACCTGTATTGTCTCATCTTCAGTTTATCCCCCCCCTTTTTTTTTTTAAATTGCTCATCTTTCTTCATCCTACATCTGAGTTAGTGAGTTGATTCCAAATAGAGTGTGTCCCTCAGAGGCATTAGTTTTTCCTTGTAAAGTGGGCAGGGAAGTTATTAATGAAATTTTGTTTAGCAAATCATCTGAATTTTAAATTTAAAGGAGGAAAAAGCAAAAAGGTAACAGCTCTGAATTTGTTTCTCTTTTTACTTTGCTTTCAAAACAGACAGCAGCCAATACAATTTATTCTCATTTGGAAATTCAAACATCTTAACGCAGGCTCATATAATTATGTTGATAATAAGAATAATCAAAAGTACAGAGCATTTTTTACATAGCAGACATTTTTCTAAGGGCTTGATATACAGTCACTCATTTAAATGCTCACAACAGTCTCAGCAGATGTGGTGATATGTTCATGATCATTTAATATAGGAGGAAACACTGGCACGAAGAAGATAAGTAACCGCCCAAAACGTCATAACCAAGTGCAAAGCCCAGATCTGAACTTGAACTCTGGCTGCTGAAGCCGGTTCCTCTTTTTGTGTTACTCAAATCTTTCTTTGAATCTTGATTAAAAAAATAAAAATCTGGAGCTGTATAGTATAACACAGATTTTGAAAGCTGATTCATTCTCTTGATTCATCCAGTAAATCACCAAGGAAGCAGGGCCCTGCTAAGCAGCCTGTGGTCAGACAGCAGAGCTCTAGATGCTACCGGCTCAACGAATGCTCTCTGGCTGGAGAGAGGATTCAGAGGCTGCCTGACAAATGGTTAAAACCCTTAGGAACACTCATCAGAACAACATCTTCAACTCTTCTGAAACCAATTTGCATTTGGGTAGAAAAGAATCCATTCCTTAACTTAAAACCAGCAAATTGCTGTTTAGCAAATATGTCTGGGATAAGCTTCTCTTGTACTAAGTGGAATATAAATTTCTACAGTTCATCTCTGAAGGTGGAGCCAATCTTCACAAGTTTAAAGAGTGTGGGCTAGAAAGGAGATTTCTGAGAATGGTTGTTGTGTGTATGTGAAAACATTTTGAATGCATATAATTTGGGGGCCATACACTTTTGGGGCCCTTGGTTAGGTAGCGTTCATGGAGAAGTTCATTCTGCAGGAAGCTCAGGAGCTCTGCTGTCAACTGCTTAGCATTTCTAGAGTACTCTGTGCACAATGGCCTGCTTACCACTACTTGCTTTGAAAGATGTAGTACTGTGTTACCTTAGTAGTGAAATTTGAGACTTGCACCCCCTGGGTTTCAGGTGCTGTTGCTTAGTAACAAAATTGGCTTTCTAGGCTGGCTGAGACTATATAATAAAATCTCTCTAAACTTAACTGTCAAAGACCTAAGTTAGGATAAGTTAGGATTCTAAAGCACTTGGAGAAAAGAACTAGGCCAATTAACAAAAAATGATAAAAATGAAACAAATGATTTGGGCCTTTATTATTTGGGCCTATATTTGCCCCCAAATTTGCTACATTTGAGAGCCTATTTAGTTTCATCTTCGGTTCCTAGATTTGTCCCTAATCACTATTTGCAAAAGTGACACAAACATGTCAATTATTAAATATGCCAGAACTTTCTAAGCGAGTATCAGAAGTGATCTAAGGAATCAAGCAGTCCCTGGCCTGGAGCCTGCCCCCTGCGTGTGCCACCAGCACTGGACATGACTCTGAAGCCCTGGGCTGGACAGAGGGGCCTTGGGACAGTCTGTGGTCTTTTTGAGGCCTCCATTTTATCCTTTGCACAGTAAAAATATGTATTTCTTAAACATTATAGATGAAACATGGAGATACTTTCACAAAGGGGAAAGTGGCAAGTGGTCAATATAGATTTACATCTTTCTTCTCCATCTATAGAAGGTCACCTGTTAAAGGCAGGGCCATTTCCCAAGGTCACCCACACATCTCTGGTCACTGCTACACACTTTCAGCAGCAGTCATTAAGTGGTAAAAGTAGTATCATTAAGCATGGGAAGAGGCAAATTCCTACCTATTCCATTCTTGTGCCCAAATGGCCAGGACTTAGATGCTGATCACTGAAACTGTACACTTCAAATTCTGACAAAGTGACCTCCACATTGCTGCTGCAGGACACTGGGGCAGAACCCAGAACAGAATTTTACTGTTGCCCTCTGCACATTGCAGAGTGTAATGCTAATATATTTTTTTATCTTGGTCCATCAACTTAAAGATAGGAAGTCAAAATCTAATAAGTTGTCTATGTGTATGACTTTTTTTTTCTTTCTGCATAAACACAAAATTCATTTCTGAAAAGAGAAATGTAAAAAAAAAAAATTCAGATTACTTTAGAGGACCAGGTAACTTACCATGCATACTTGAAATGGTGTATGTATGTGCACCTGTACATGAATGCATATAGGAAGAAAGAGCGGATATGATATCAAGCTATTTGTTAGACATATGTAGAAAACAAATGTGAATGGCAACTCTTACTTTATCACATCGCATCAGCCCCAAATATCTCAGAGACTTGCTGCTTTGGGCAATCAGGGTAGCTCCTTGATCTGTAATTTCTTTACACCATCCGACATCCACAGTCTCTATTGTCATGCTGTATCGCCCAATGGCAATGAGAGCTACAGGGTGGGACAGAGAGAAAGCAAAGCATCATGTTAGCAGTGTAGGGGAGCGCTGTCTGATTATGAGACTTCTCTCATTTCCTCATGAAATTTGTTTCCGAAATGAAGTGTGTAAATGAATGTTTGGTAAACTAAATTGAATTTGAAATGCTGTAGGAAAGCTTGTATTATGACACAAGCTTTCACAAAGTGAATAATCGTTCTATAATTTCCTTTTCATAAGAACATAAACTTTTACCAGTTTTATTCACTACAAGGTTACCTGTAGTTTGAAACAATCATATTTGTAGAAGGAATACCTAAAAATGAATTACACATATACTGTTACAGGAAACCTCAAACAGAAAGTTAAACTTTACCCAAGATAACTTTAATAACTTTTCAAAAAGAAAATCCCATGAAAAGATTATTTCGAGGTGTGTTACACTGCATATGAATTTTTTCACTGATTGGCATAATTTTTTCCATCTGTTCATGATCTGTAAAATGTAAGAGTATATAACATTTTTCACATTAGTCCTTCTTGGGACTGCTAGGAATTAAGAGTACATTATACATACAGTTGAATTTAATTGGTGCTGTGCTGGAGTGCAGTAACGGAATGCATTTGTTATGGCGAATTTCCTCACCATATCCAAAGTCTTCCTTCTATTAACATATAAAATGAAGCCTGTCGTCTGAAACCTGACACTATCTCTAGTTTTGACTGCTTGGCATTGTACCACTATTAAAGTGTAGAGGCTTATCCCCTAGTCAGAGAGGCACGCTACTCATCAGTGCTACAAAAACCGTCACCCTCTGGATGCAACTAACTGGTAAACGGGGGCTCTTTGTTAGGGACTACTGATTTGACAGACATGCACACCTCTACATTAGTGGAGCAGAAAAACAGATTTCAGTACCTCCAGCCAGAATACGTTTATGCTGCATTGGCTCGTAAATGAAAACTCTGAAAACGATGCCACAATTATTAAAAAGGAAGAGAAATTGTTTGCTAATTATTTCCTCATCCTAAGATAGGATGAGCTGATTTCAATGACATTAAAGGCAGATAATTTTTACCAACTAAATAGATTGATAAGAGCAGATTGAATTACTAATGTAAATAAATGTTAACTCTTGCAGTTCACAGAAAAGAACTCTTGGCAAATCATTTTGCTAATTACCTCAGTGATTTTTTTTTCTCTAGAAAACTCATGCATGCATTCAAGTATCAAAGCACTTCTATGTAGGCAGATATTTAGAGGTAATGAAAACAATAATTGCGATGCCAGTATTTTCCAGTGAAAAATGCTATAGAGAAAGAAAAAAAATCTGGAAGTTCCTCATGACACTAATGAATGATGTTTTCTCATCTCTGCACATGCTATTTTAGCATTCAGTTTTCCAAGGAGGGGTGATCTGCCAAAGAATTGTTGAATGGTCTGAGGGATACTTGTATGAAGCAGGACTAGTATCCCAGATAATCTCATTGGTGTTGGTGGCCATTGATCAGTAGACTATATAGTCTTACTGAGGCTCAAGGCCAGGTAAGACAAACCTGAGGAGTTTTTAAGAGTCAACAACTGTAGCTATCCTAGCTATTGTTTGGTATTTTTTTGTATATTTGAGTTAAACTACTGTTTGATATTTTCTCTTTTTGTCCGGCTTAAATAAACAGTAAAGAAGATCACTAAAGATGATCAGTTATCCAATGTTGTTTTGACATAATTCTGTTTACTGAAGTAAGAATTAAACCCTATTGTTCCTTAACTCATTCGTTTATTAAACAAGTACCTCATGAGCACTCACTCTAGAGCTATTTTCTTCAGTTTTTATAGACCACCCAAGTGTTAGTCACTGAGCCAAGACTTCTAGGTTCATTATCTTATTTAATTCTCACAGTAACCTTATGAAATCTTATTGCTAGTTCCATTTTGAAGATCAATACACTGAGTCATAGAGAGATTGAATTAACTTTCCTGGAGTCAAAAGAGAGTAAATGGAGGTGTGGACAGGAAGCTAAATGTTGGTTCTCCGCCTTGACTATACCTCAGATCCCCTAAATTGGATTCATGGGGTCAGACATCTGGCAGTTCTAATACCCTGCACTAACAGCACATGGGGCTATGGTGTGACAGATAGGTCTCTGCTGGACATTGGGGAGAAAAAGACTCACAAAGGTCAGAGGTCAGTGGTGTGGGAGAAAGGAAGGTGAGGGGGACTCGAGGAACAGGCAAGTAAATAGTCACAACACATTGTCTTCCATCTCTTCCTATTCCTTACACCTTCTCACCTTTCAGATCTCAAAATGAAATGTCAAAGTCTAAGAACCCATAGCCCTATCATTTAATTTCACTGGAAATGCTTACCTCCCCCATTATGATGGTGGCTCCTACTCACTGCTGTATGTCCAGCATTTAGCTTGAGCCTGCTACAGAGGAGGCTCTTAAAAATATTAACAGAATACAGCCAATGACTATAATATGACTAGATCTATTATACTTGGCATGTACAGGCATGCTGAGGGGACATGGGAGCCCTTCACTTATCTTAAGGCACGTGAGAGTTCACAGGAGTCCTTCCAGAAGAACTGGGCAAGGTCTAGAGAGATGGGTAGGGATTCTCCAGAAAAACAAAGGAATGAGGGCTACTATGTTGGGCTAAAGAGAGAGATGTGAAAGGACTGGGGGTCACCAGACATTCTATGTGGCTGAAATAAAAATAATGCAAATAAAAATAATGCAAGGAGGTAGTGAGATTCACTCCAGAAATACTGATATAAAATTAACTAGCCTGGAGAAGGCATAAGAAATACAAAATGTAGCAAAAATAAGCAGAGTCCTTGAGATGCAGAAGTGTTCTAGTAGGAGATGTAAAACTAAGTAACCGGCCCTCCCTGGTGGCACAGCTGGTTAAAGCACAGCACTAAGAAGCTAAAGCCACTTCAGCATGAGTTTGACCCCCGCCCCCCGGAGGTGACCCACATGGTGTAGCAGACCTCTCCTGACCTGCCCACTGCTCCCCTCAGCAGTGTATTTCATCAGTCCACCTGTTCTTCTCCCCACGGTGAATCCTCTCACCGCCCCTGTACCACATCTGACCTGTACCCCATTCTGTATGCATAAAAATAAATAAATCTTAAAAAAAAAATAACAACAACTAAGTAACCACTGAAGTATATATAACTTTAAATTGTGAAAGGTGCTCTGAAGGAAATGGACTGGCCAGTTACCTAAAAGAATAACTTTTAGATGGGAAGAGAATACCAGGGACTCTTTCTGATGAAATTATTTTAACATCTCCAATAGCCCTACAAAGATAATTCCCATTTAGTGATGTAATAGTGGGAACTTTTTTTTTTTTT